AAATAATAGCAATTTGGCATTTATGATAATAATAATAATAATAATAATAATAATAATAATAATAATAATAATCCAACTAATTCATAAACAAACGGGGCGTTACAATGCGGGACTAGGCGAGGCATGGGCGTGCACGTGCAAGGCAGGCAAGGCGCGCGATGCCTCGCGCGCCAAGGAATATGATAGCCGAGGGCGGCGCGCGTAGAGGCGGTGACTTGGACATGCGCAAGAATTAAAGCTTCTAGAAGTACTTGGTGTGCAAGTCAAGATATTAGGAGGTCTACTAGATTTAGGAATTTATGGTAGTAGGATATTTACTAGCCTTAGGATTTAATATTTAATTGTTTTATTAGTTTCCTAGTAAGATTAGCATTAGAGATAGTTGGTATCTATAAATACCCCATGTACCTCATCATATTTGACATGTTGAATGAAGTATTGAATTGGTGAGCCAATCTTGAGTGGGAACCTTGTGTTCTTAACGTGTGATAAACAAGGCCATTAGTGCGTGTTTACATACAGTGTCGGAAAGAAGGCCATTAGTGCGTCTTGAAGTCACGGTGTCTAGGAGAAGGCCGCAGTGCGTCTGTTAGACACATCTATCGGGGATAAACGAAGGCCGCAGTGCGTCGTTTATTCGCACCCACGTATAGGTGAACACACGATCCGTCATCAGCGTGCCACTGCGCACGACAGCACGTACTGCGGTAAATGGGCGCGCACTGATGACTGGCTGGACGCGTGCGTGCACCTGGTGCATCGTAGCGTCAGCCTGGGCACTGCCCCGCACTATGTGCGCGGGCGCAAGCGCTGTTTGGCACTGCTGGGCGCTGCCGGGCGCCGCAGCAGTCACTGGGACACGCACGCGCACACTGGCGCGCGCGGTAACTGGCTGGCGTGCCGCTGGCACTGCCAGCAACTGCCTCTGCGGACAGGCAATGAGCAGCGCCTCGCGGGTGATGAAGATCGTGTATCTGCCTCAACTCGAATTGCTTGAAACCCGCGCCGACGCCTTGGTCCCGAAACGATAGGTTGCTAATACGCGCGCCGACGCCTTCGTACTTCGCGATAGTTGTGAAGAAACTCGGATGTTGGTCCTATTTCTAACACGATAGGTGTGAAGAAACCCGGATGTTGGTCCTATTTCTAACACGATTTTGTATGTAAACTCATACACAAGAGTTGGTGAACAAACGTTCGATTTTCTATTAATTTCTTCGATATAAAAAATAACAAGAGGAAGGGCCTTTATATAGGAACCAACTTGATCTAGTCCTATGAGAACTATAATTCTAACTAGGAAATAATATCTAGTCCTAAGGTAACTAAATGTCTTGCATATCAAGACTTAACAAAATATAAAATACCTAACCTAAACTAATTAAAACTCACGACTAATTAAATAATAACATAACAAAACTAATCCTAACCTAAATCTAAGTATTAACGGCAATAAATAAAAATCCTAACAATCTAACATTAATCCTCCCACTAACAATTAACACCTAATGATACTAACAAAAGCTTACGCCACTAACAATTATTTAACCAATCTAATAATTAATCTAATTAACTAAACTAATAAGTAATAATTAATTTAATTAATAAATGTCTTTGTGCGCGCCAAGTCGTCTCGGCCAGCTCGTGTGATCGCGCGTCCAACCCGCGTACTCCTCCGCGTGCTTGGTCGCGCGCTACTCCTCGACCCACGAGGCTTCCCCAATTGTCGCTCGTATCCTCGCACTTGCTCGAACTCTTTATCTTCGTAGACCCTTGCATGCTCGACCCTATCACCTTGGTTGTCCTTTGCTTGGCACTCGTCCTTTTTGACCCCGTGCGATAAGCCAGAGGCCATGCGTGTGTCCACGACTCATGTTGCCTTCCTCGTGAACCTCGCATACGGGCTCGTACTCGTCTTTTAGGCCATGCATGTGTGGTTTTGGCCCTTTTCTCAGTCTTCTCGGATCGTCTCGACCATTGGCTCTTGGCGTGCTCGGGCCTCGAAATCCACTTCCGCATCATTCCTTCCCCCTTCGAATGAGTCCTTGTCCTCAAGGACTCGCCAATTAACACCAGTTGGGGCGTCGCCTCCTCAAGCTTGACTTCCTCGGGCTCTTGAAAATAGTTAATGAACATAAGCGGCCCTTCATAATCCGTCGACTGCTCCACGTACTCGGTGGCCTCCAAGTCCTCAAAATATTTTGGGAATTCAAACGGAAAATTGGGTTGCTCGTCGAAATATCCCGGAAACTCGAACGAAAAAACGGGCTCTTTGTCAAAAAATCCCGGAAATTCAAACGAGAACGTGGGTTCCTCGTCGAAAAAACCTAGAAATTCGAATGGAAAATTTGGCTCCTCGCACCGTTCTTTGATCCGGCCTTCTCCCTTTTCGGACTCGCCTAGACCTACGTCGGTCCCTTGTTGGTTGCACCACTCCGCCATGCGACTCTCAGACCAAAATTGATCAGTTACCTTGACCCTGCGGATCGCTCGGTTGCGTTTGGTGCGGCTCTCGGTATTTTTGCGGGACATGCTTTTAGTAAATTCTCGAACGCTTTTCCTCAACTGCTCCAAGGCTTGATTTCTTTCTTTTTTCCCATGTCTCCAATTGAGCCCTCCACTCCAAATTACTCATTAACATTTTTTTTTCTTTTAAACACTCGTTTAAAAAAAAAAATTCAAAGGATGTATATATATTTTTTTGTTGCCCTGCTGCTCACGCACTTCAGACTCAAGTTTTTTTTTTTTT